AATATTGTGCAAAAACACAAAACAAACTTGGTGCAGAGTTCAGCAAGGATGAAAATATCTGTGTGCTCTCCTTCCAATCAGCCTGAGGTGATGCAGGTGAAGGTTGCAGATAGAGGGCTACTATGTAAGCCTGGATGGTCATATGGATCTCTCCCTCCTCAGATCTTTCCTTGATCCAGCCCTTTAGACATTCCTCATACAAATCATGTAAATAGAGAAAAGTACATAGTGCTTTATTGTTGATAAAAATAAACACTTTAATTTGTGCTCAATATGCACTCACATTGATTAAAAACAATCTGCACTTTGTATAATAGCCGCTTAAAGCGGTGAAGACCAGCCTCTCGGGTGTGCTCGCGTACACTACCAGTGCTCGCCGTGTAAGGATGTGTGGTGATGTCACTGCCCCTCCCCAACGCGTATCTCCACAGGGATTCGTGGCTTCGTCCGGGGGATGTAGTATCTATCTATATGTAGGATACTACATCCCCCGGACGAAGCCACGAATCCCTGTGGAGATACGCATTGGGGAGGGGCAGTGACATATATAGATACTACATCCCCCGGACGAAGCACAAATTAAAGTGTTTATTTTTATCAACGATAAAGCACTATGTACTTTTCTCTATTTACATGATCTGTATGAGGAATGTCTAAAGGGCTGGATCAAGGAAAGATCTGAGGAGGGAGTGATCCATATGACCATCCAGGCTTACATAGTAGCCCTATATCTGCAACCTTCACCTACATCACCTCAGGCTGATTGGAAGGAGAGCACACAGATATTTCATCCTTGCTGAACTCTGCACCAAGTTTGTTTTGTGTTTTTGCACAATATTTATGGAATCTCACCTTTTATTCATTTTTATATTTTTTCAATTTATTAATTGGATTATTTATTTAATCATCGAAGGACACAAATTTTGAATAATTTTGTACAGACTTTTATGATATAATATTTTTTTTTTTTTCCTTTTATATCACCAATTTTGATATATATTTTCCTAATTCATTTATTCACTATTAACACATGTTTGGGTATTGATTGGCATTACAATCATGTATGGTTATACATAAGAGATCATGCAGCTATTAGAGATTTAATGTAAATACAGTTCTTATACTATATACAGGTAATAGGTATTGATAGAGCGCGGCATCTATATTTTCTTCATTTGTATGCACTGATAACTCACATTTGTGAGGGTGAGCAAGACAGCCTGCGATCTTATTGATAGAAGCTGTTTATTATACACCTTATTGGCTCACAAGTAAATTTTTAATATTCAGACAAGGAATTACCCTCTGCAGGCGCTGTTGTTCAAATTCTGTATAGACAGGGAAAATGTGTTAATGTGGCAATTGTTCACCAGACAGCAGCATTCATTTTCACATTATGGATACTACAGTCTTGCATGCAAAGTTCTCTGGGAATGGTTAGGACACTGACTGCCTGTATTATTTGAGCATGTGTAATGGAAATGTCCTTCAGTGTGCAGTAAGGCACACCTTTATTTATTTGTTTTGCATACAGACAAAAGAGAGAGCTGAACACCTAAGGAAACCATGGCTGGTTCACACCATGCTTGCAAAGAAATCGCAGGGGAACGTGCTATGCATTCCTGTGCAATTCACACTGTATACAAAACACACTCCATTTGCGATATACAGTGGGTGTCAGTAAGAAGTTAATCACACCTCAAACACAGGTCACAAGCACAGTGTTTGCCCACACCAGATCTTATGGTACTTTTGTTGCAGTGGATGTTAAAAAATAGTGCATGCAATACTGGTGATGCGGTGCAATTTTTGCCCATTCAAAATGAATGTGCTGAGATCGCACTGCGCAGAACTGCTTATGAATTGCACAGGAACTGCAGAATGTCACTGTGCATATCACATGCAGTTTCCAGTGTGGACCGACACTGAACTAATGGAGTGAGATTAAATGAAGATGAAAAAAGAGGGAAAGAGAAAATGAGAGAGAGAGAGAGAAAATAAAAAGAGAAAAAGAGAGAGATGGGGGAGAGAAAGATGGAAAGAGAGAATGAGATAGAAGTAAAGTTTGAGAATTTAAGAGACAGAGACAGCAAGAGAGAAGGAATAAAGAGCAAGAAGGAAAGAGAGAGAGGAGGAAAGATTTCTTTTTATGAGGAGGTAAGCAAGACCTTGGACAGAGGGGTGGCTGTGGATGTGGTATACTTGGATTTTTGCAAACGTATTTGACACAGTTCCCCACACATGGCTAATGTGTAAGGTAAAGTCTACAGGCTTGGAAAAATCAGTTTATAAATGGATAGAACACTGGCTAAAAGATTGTATTCAGAGAGTAGTGGTTAATGATTCATATTCTGAAAGGTCTAGGGTTGTAAGTAGTGTACCCCAAGGTTCAGTGTTGGGACCCTTACTTTTTAATATATTTATAAACAATATAGGGTCTGAGATTAACCACTTCCAGACCAAACACTTTTACCCCCTTCCTGACCAGGGCAATTTTCAGCTTTCAGCGCTTTCACACTTTGAATGACAATTGCGCGGTCATGCAACACTGTACCCAAATGAATTTTTTACCATTTTTTTGAGACCGATAAAGCTTTATTTTGGTGGTATTTATTCACCGCTGGGATTTTTATTTTTTTTGCTATGTAAATGAAAATGTCCAAAAATTTTGAAAAAAAGTGTGTTTTTTTTATAACATTTTGCAAATAAATAATATTTCATCATAAATCTTTGCCAAAATGTATTCTGTTATCTTTTTAGTAAAAAAAAAAATCCAAATTCGTTTATAACCAAAAATTATAATTTTTAAAAAAATTTTTTTACATATTTTATTTTTTTATATTATTTTTTATTTTTATTTTTTTTTTTTTACATACTGTCACCCTAGCAGTACCGTGTCACCATGGTGACCCTGTACTACTTGTGGGGGGTGATGAAGATTTTTTTTTTTTTTTACACTGATTGCTTTTACACCCATATAGGATGTAAAAGCAATCATTTCTCTTTCTCTCTGTGTGCATTCTTGCACTCATTGAGAAGTACTGAGTGAGCTGTGATTGGTCACAGCTTGTCACATGGTACAAGGCTGTTGTGAATAGCCTTGTACCATGTGACCTCTGTGATCATTCACAGATTTCACACGTAGCAAGCAATGATGTCACAAGTGACATCTTGCTTACTACTTTGCATGTGATCACTGATTGGCCAATCAGTGATCACATGATCGGGACCTCGTACAGAGGTCCTGTCCGACGATCGGTGTTTCACTGTGTCCGCAGGACACAGCGGGCACCGGATCGCGGTGCTGCACGCTCCGAGGGAGCGTGCACAAACAGGGTGCGGGGAGGCCGTTTATAGACGGCCACTCGACCCTGCACTGCCACCGTCCGGCCGTTTATATGCAACGGCCGGTCGGGAAGTGGTTAAAAGTACCATTTCAGTGTTTGCAGATGACACCAAGCTGTACAGTGGAACAACGTCCTTACAGGATGTCTCCAACTTACAAGCTGACCTCAATGCACTGTTTAATTGGGCAACTATGTGGCAAATGAGTTTTAATGTTGATAAATGTAAAGTTATGCACTTGGGGGCTAAGAATATGCATGCATCATACATAGTAGGGGGAGTACAACTGGGGGAATCAGTGGTGGAGAAGGATCTGGGAGTAGATCATAAGCTCAACAATAATGGCATGCAATGCAAAACTGCAGTTTACAAAGCAAGTAAAATCCTTTGTTACATTAAAAGAGGTATAGACTCCAGACAGAGAGATATCATATTACCCCTGTACAAATCATTAGTAAGACCTCATCTGGAATATGCAGTTCAGTTTTGGGCACCAATTCACAAAACAAATATTGGGGAACTGAAGAAAGTACAGAGAAGGCCAACCAAACTGATAAGAGGCATGGAGGAGCTCAGCTATGAGGAAAGATTAAATGAATTGAATGTATTCTCTCTTGAGAAGAGGAGATTAGGGGGGATATGATCAACATGTATAAATACATCAGTGGTTCATATATTGAACTCGGTGTAGAGTTATTCACCCTGAGGTCATGATAGAAGACAAGGGGGCACTCTTTACGGCTGGAGGAAAAAAGATTTAATGTCTGTCTATGGAAAGGTTTCTTCACAGAAAATGTGAAATAGACTCCTTCAAGAGTTGGTTCTGGCCAGCTCAGTAGATTGCTTTGAAAAAGGCCTGGATTCTTTCCTAGATACACAGAATATAACTGGATACTAACATTAATAGGTAAAGTTGATCCAGGGAATATCCGATTTGCTTCTCGGGAGATCAGGAAGAATTTTTTTCCCCAGCAGAAGCAAATTGGATTATGCTTTGCTGGGTTTTTTTTGCCTTTCTCTTGATCAACTATGGGTGTAGGATTATATTTTTTTTTCTTCCCTTTTATGGTTGAACTGATATGCCTGTAAAGAGTGCGACAGATAGAATACAACTTTGCAACTCACGACAATACATTACGTCAATGCAACGCATATTGTGAGTGAAGCCTAAGAGATATAACAATGAAAACATTTATATCTGTGTGATATTTGTTGTGCTGGTTATTTATAGTTACTATTATAAATGTATTGTGATACCATGAATTTTACACTATGTTGTGCATTACAAAGAAAAGCTTTAATGCTGAACTCCAGACTGAATACACATATAAATACGGGATCTGTTTTACCTGCTGAATGATCATTTACAGCTGGTCCTAAGGCTGTCAGACAGGACAGCCAGGTTAGTGACCTTACCATTCTCAGCCAATCCAATGGCTCATAACTCCTTCTTGTTCCAGCCTCCATTCTGCTACAGATGGGACTACAGGAGGCTGACATCAGGACATAATTAGCTTTATGTTCAAAGTACATTTAATGATTTACTAATAAATGCATACCTGCAAAAATGTTTTTTTTATATCTATCGAGTTCAGCTTGGATATATGCCCCTATATATAAGCTGTTATTCAAATACACATCTCTTGTTTGGAAAGATTACAGAGAGAGAACTTAAACCAGGAGGAGCAAACATTCCTGTAACTGAGAAGAACAAGAAAGAATACATTGAAAAAATGGTGAAATGGCGAATTGAAAGAGGAGTTGTACAGCAGACGGAAAGCCTGGTGCGGGGCTTTTATGAGGTAAATTGTGTACATGCAGCCTGAATGATGAACTGTCATTTATATAACAGAGAAGTAATAATCTGCTTGCTTAGTTGCAATTTAAATACATTTTTGATAGGACGGTGTTGAAATAAAATACTTGATTATAACCTGCCTTCCTACTTTATAAAATAGGTCTTGTTATGCAGTGTAAGAGGAACTTTGCTGCTGTACTTCTTTACTTCTGACTAATTTTATGGTCAGGTCTCCTATTTATCTCTATAAACATTTTTTCAGTTGTTGGCAGAGTCTAGTGAGCCACAGTCCTATCTGTCTTTTGGAGCCTCCAGTAGAAAGATCTGTCTATTAAATGTGAAAAATACTCCTGCGCTACCTCAATGTGACTATATAATAAAAGATATATATAGAGCTGCTGCTACTATCAAAAATTGTGTTCCCACAACATAAACATAAATAAACTTAATGCTGCGCTGCTAATATAAAGCATAAATACCAAATCATCAACCTATTAAGAAAAAACATCAAATATACATATAAACATGCATAAATCATATAAATAGGATAAAACACAATGTCCATAAAAGCAAGTCCATGCAATTTGAATTAGAGCAGTGAACGTGAAGCACGTGAGAAATCCTATGAAATTGTGAAGGAAGTTGATGTAAAACTCTATCCACGTTCACTGCTTTAATTCAAATTGCACGGACTTGCTTTTATGGACATTGTGTTTTATGTCATTCATATGATTTATGCACGTTTATATGTATATTTTGATGTTTTTTTCTTAATAGGTTGATGATTTGGTATTTATGCTTTATATTAGCAGCCCAGCATTAAGTTTATTTGTTTAAGATCTGTCTGTTGCAGTTCCTGGCCTTGTTGCAGCATACCTTGGAGTTTTCAGTGTTGCCATCCACCCCCTGGGCATTCCCACATCTTCTGTTCAATGATCCATGATATGAAAAGAAGTTCAAATCTAACAGGGAACATTCTCTTCTCTCTGGTGCCTGAAGTACACTGCATGTGCATTAAGTGCTCTCTGTGTACATATTGGAGAGATTTAAGGGTGTTTAGTCTGTGCACATGCAGGTTTGATCAAGTCCTGGGATATGCCCACATACAGCTGGGTATAGCCATTTATTTCTATGAGGCAGCTGTACCTGCAGGGACATACGCCCATATGCTGCATGGCCACAAGCAGCTGTGTCCATAAGCCATTAGTTACATTTCCTGTTAACTGCATCTGATTACAGCTAACCACAGAGTAACAGTTTTTTGTTACATTTTAACAGGCGCTGGTACTGTAATTCAGTTATTATTACCAGCCAATCTACAGAGCAGGGTCTGGCACTGACATCCAAGACAAAAAGCAAACAAAGCATTTTTAACTGTATAGATTGTGGTAATGTAATTTTGGAGTTGTCCAAATTATTGTATGGATTGTTTTACCTCTTTTCAATAAATTGTTTATGTACTTACACAGATAATTTATTAGCTGAAAATATAATACAGGTAAATACATATTTTCATCTTATAATCAAAGAATAAATGATGAGCGCAAGACAAAAAAGGAAAAAGTAAAGCAGCTAGCACAACGTGTTAAACCCTCTGTCTTCACCAAAACAAAACACTATAATATCAATGTGCAGCGCTAATAAAAATGTGTGTTATAATCAGTGATGACCAGTGTGATCGTAAAAGAGAAAGGAAACATCATAAAAAAGAAATAGAGAATAGTGAATACTTCAATGAAGAAACAAAATGGACGGTATAACAAATGAAAATATATAAGTCCTCTAAATATCATAATAGTCCCAAAAATAGTGATGTGATCAAATTAACAAAATGTAGCTACTTCTGTGACTTCCGCACTGCAGCTCCACCATAATGCGCTCACCAGAACTGTGGGTATAGGATTATAACTTTTTTGTATCGTTAAACTGGATGGACTTTAGTCTTTTTTCAGCCAGACTAACTATGTAACCAGAAGTAAGTAGCAAGCAAGCCCAGAGCGGAATGACACTAAGGGGTGTTGCTGCTTATTCCTCCTGCCGGTGACCCGTTTGAAGGTGGGATCTCCAATCTCCAAGTCTCCATCTCCAGCCCACGGTGAACCAAGGAAAGGGATTCCTTCTAGAGGGAAAGCTCATAGACCGAGCCCGGAGACAGTATCATATAGTGTAGTATGTTTTATTAAAAAGATAGCAACCACATGGAGCATAAAATCAATGGATAAAAAGCACTTACAAAAATGGCCGCCGGACCATCACGTAGACACGGCAGCGTGATGTCAGCACGTAGGCTCCTCTAACGCGTTTCGTGCGCATGCACATTCGCAAAGGGATCAACCTAGTGCCGACGCCATAACAGTGTATACCTTAAAAAGGCCTGCGGACATGTGACCAAACCAACGCCATTTTCTAGAAGACATATGGTCGGACAGGCGCCATTTTGTTGTAGACCAGAAAAAAACATAACAGTCCTGCACTTAAGATTGAAGGGATCGTACTGAATGTGAACCACCGATGGATATTAATTAACAATTGGAGTTAATAACAAGGACAATCTAATGTTCGTTGTGATGCAACCCCTCAAAATGAAAAACTAAAATAAAAGACAGAATCCATAAATGCATTCAAGTCCCTAAAACGCAGGTGATGTGCATAATGGGAACAAATGCAACATGCGTTAGAACAATATAAATGGTAACACCAAGTAGTTAATAGTGTGGGCAACCATAACTAGAAATGGAATATATAGTAGCAACCAGCAGCGTTATATTCCACAAGACTGTGATGAAAAACTGGTCACAACATGTACAAAAGTTATGCACGTAAATGTAAATAAAAACAACATCACATATATAAAACATGAGAAACATGATGATGTATATAATACAATACACAGGCAGCAAAAAGGAAAAAATCCCTAAATGACAAATATAGATCCAAAAAATATAAATATAGATCTGACAAATAATTAAAAAGGTAGCAATATAGAGATAAGGAAAAAAAAAGGATAGATTGAAAGACACCATCACAGAGGCTCAGATATCCCGAGGAAGTAGTGTTGCAAACAGAGCTAACTGACCAGACCGATGCCATTTTCCAGAAGACGTATGGTCGGACAGGCACTATTTTGTTGTAGACCAGAAAAAGCATAACAGTCCTGCTCTTAAAATTGAAGGGATCATTCTGAATGCGATCCATGGATGAATATTGATTAACAATTGCGGTTAATAACAATAAAGACAATCTAATGATCATTATGATGCAGCCCCTAAAAGATGAAAAACTACAAAACTAAAATAAATAAATGAAATAAATGACAGAACCTATAAATGCATTCAAGTCCCTAAAACGCAGGTAATGTGCATAATGGGGACAAATGCAACATGCGTTAGAACAATATAAATGTATTCAAATCCCTAAAACGCAGGTAATGTGCATAATGAGGACAAATGCAACATGCGTTAGAACAATTTAAATGGTAACATCAGGTGGTTAATTATATGGATGACCATGACTAGAAATGGAATGTATCATAGCAACCAGCAGTGTTGTATTCCACTCGACTGTAATGAAAAACACGTCACAACGTACAAAAATTAACAAAGGGACAGATTGTAAGATACCACTACAGGGGCTCAGATATCCCAAGGAAGTGGTATTGCCAACAGAGCTAACTGTTATCAATAAAGCACTTAACATCTATGTTGACATTGTGTCCTAAAGGAGCCAGGGTACCCATCTCATAAATCCACTTAGTTTCTAGTCCGGATACTGCCCTGCGTTTATAATTTCCCCTCCAGTGGGGATGCACGAGATCTATTCCAATGAATGACAAGCATGAAGGATCTCTCTGATGATGGTCTCTAAAATGCTTAGAAAGAGAGTGTTCCTTAAAACCTGTTTTGATATTATAGACATATTATCTCAGGTGATCTCTAAGCCTTCTGGTTGTTCTGCCAATATACTGTTTTTTACATGAACACTCTAGGAGGTACACAGCACACCTGCTATAACAAGTGATCAAAGAATTGATCTTATACTTTCTGCCCGTGGAACAAGATGTAAAAGAGCGTAGAGGTCTCTTTCTTGCATTATTCACCATGCAGATCATGCATCTGTTGCAAGGAAAAAAAATGCTAAGCTCTGAAAAAAATGGCAACCCCTTAGGTGGATCTACTATATTAGGAGCTATCCTATTCCTTAACGGAGGTGCCCGTTTGAATATTACCTCTGGTCTATCAGGTAGAAAACCCTCTAGAACTGGGTCCTCTTTCAAAATCCTCCAATTCCTTTTAAAAATCCTTGCTACCTCTCTAAACTGAACAGAAAAGTTGTTTATAAAGTGACAAATTTTCCCAGATCTGTTAGTCTCCTTATCCGCCAGAAGAAAAGACCTATCAAGATCGGCAACTTCCCTAATAGCCATCTCTAATTTCGGGGAGTCATACCCGCTTTCCAGAAACCTATCTTTAAGGATCCTGGCTTGAGTATGAAAGTCCTCCAAATTATCGCAATTCCTATCTATCCTTAAAAATTTACCTTTATGAATATTTCGGAGCCATAGGGGGTGGTGGCAACTGTCTACTGGAATATAACTATTCCTGTCTGTAGGCTTAAAAAAGGATCTGGTGGTAATCCTATTGCTGTTATCGACAAGGGTGAGGTCCAAGAAATTGACCAATTTGTAGTCATATTCATATGAAAGGTTAATATTCAAGTTGTTCTTGTTCAAAGTGGTGAAAAAATTCTGTAAAGATTCCTCACCTTCCTGCCATAGGAGGAAGAGATCATCAATATACCTTCGCTAGAACCGTAATTCAGGCCATTCTCTGGAGTAGATAATATCCTCCTTGCACCGTGCCATAAAAAGATTAGCCAGGCTTGGGGCAAACTTAACCCCATGACTTTGCCTCTGGTCTGCAGATAGAATGATTTATCGAACCAAAAATAATTGTGATTCATGGCAAAATTAAGTAGCTCAATAATAAACCTTTTTTGGCAGCTGGGAATATCCTCAGATTCCTCTAGATAGTACTCTACGGCCTGTAAACCATCTGCATGCCTTATATTACTGTACAGTGATGCCACATCTGCTGTCACTAGAAATATTGATGAATTGACCGTTTACAGTTTTGATATCATTGAACACTTGTTTAATATCTCTTAGGAAAGAGGAAAAAAGAAAAAAGTCGATTCCCCAATCCTAGAACAAAGGGAGCCAATCCCACTGACTATAGGCCTATCAGGGGGATGTAAAGGATCTTTGTGAACTTTAGGAAGACAATATAGAACTGGCAGGCGAGGTGCCGAAGGACACAGAAATTCTTTCTCTCTTTTGCTTATAATATTATCTTTATAGCCCCTCTTGATGATCTCTTTCAACTCACGCTTATACCCAACTAATGGATTCTTGGACAGTAATTTATAGGTACTATCAGTATCTTCCTAGATCTTATAGACCTCTTTCATATAGTCTATTTTATCAAGTACAACTACACAACCACCCTTATCAGCTAGACGCACCACCAGATCCTTTCTATCCAGAAGTTGTTTCATGCCCATACTAATATCCTGTTGATTCTTCAGATTTTTGAAGTCTAATCTAAGTCTTTAATCACCATATCCCTAAAAATATTAACATGGAGGTGATCACCACAAGGGGGATTAAGTAACGATGCATTCCTGAAGTGTGTATTTTCAATATCACTAGGAGTGCGTTTGTCTACAAAGGGATTAAGTAAAAAATACTTTTTTATAGACACTGGTAAATTTGTGGACATCAATATAAGTCTGAAATTTGTCAAGTTTCACCTGTGGAGCAAACTTCAGACATTTATTCAACAAGGATATCTCCTCAGTAGATAGAGTAGCTTTACTCAAGTTAAAGATACCACTATCATTTATACTTGTCTTTTTTTGGGGTCTATGGACCCTCTATTCCCCTCTTCTTCCTCTATGCGGACACTTCTCTTTCTTGAAGTTCCTCCCCCTAAAAAAGGTACTCTTGTGTTATCCTGGTTATATGGAGATCTGGTCTGTTGATGATGGTATCCCTGTTGGGGCCTGGTGTTATATTGGGCAGGGTTATCCCTGTAGGAATTCCCAGAGGGTCCAAATGACGGCCTTTTGTGATGTTTCCTTTCTCGTTTACGATCACACTGGTCATCATTGATTATAACACATATTTTCAATTTGTTGGGGGTTATGTCTTATCTAGTACCCTTGATAAAAGAGAAATGGAAGAGATAAAAAAGTAATATTTTAATGTTATTTGTATTCTGGGATCTTGCTGATGCTATGACAGAGCTTTCATTCACAAGCAAGGTGAGCAATTGGCTAATAATCCTTTTAGGTCTTATGCCTTGACCTGTATAGTAGGCATATAGAGGGACTAGCAGACAGGTCCTTTATTTACTCAGCTGTAGCAGCTGACAGTTGTTACTTATGACATCCTCACAAAGCTTCCTTTAGAGAGCATGTGAGTATGCCCAACTAACCACTCCTGCCAACGATGAACCACAGAACCTGCTGTCTGTCCCATCAGTGTTAATTGCTTGGATTGCACAAAAGGCAGTTTTTCACTTAGCTATGTGAATCTGTATTACTTTGAACACCGAATTGTGTATTGAGAAGTTTAAAAAAAAATAGAAGTTTTCTTTACACAAACTTGGACAATTTAATATTTTGCATTGTACGCTTGCAAACCAATAAAAGTGTTTTTAAAAGACAGCCCAAAAACATAAAATTTTTTCTTTTCAGGTGGCAGATGCTCGTCTCGTCTCTGTGTTTGATGCAAGGGAGCTTGAGCTGGTTATTGCAGGAACAGCAGAGATTGATTTAGGAGATTGGAGAAATAATACAGAGTACAGAGGAGGTAAATGCTTTATCATTTAAAGGGACTCTGCCTATTGGTGATATTTGTTAAATTAATTCAAGTGTTTCAAAAAGCCTTTTTTTTATACCCTAATGCATTCTCTGCATTAAGGTAAAAAGACTTCCCTGCTATCTTTCCTACCCACCCCTGTCTCTAAACATCTGAACCCTCTCACCGATCCAGTGTTGCCCTGGCTGCGTCTCTACGCCTCTCACTTCCTGGTCTTAGAGGAGGCACTGAGAGCATTGGGAGTTTTAAGCTCCTTCTGTTGTCAATCAAACTCTGAGGAGTGAGCGGGGCATGGCTTACCGGGACTGTGTGTGTCTATGGACGCACACAACCCCGTTTAGGAGTGCACACACAGGTTTCCCCATAGCACACAGCTTGCTAAGGGGGCAACCAATTAAACATGTAGATTACATAGACAATGAAGGCCAGTGTACATATTGAGCTCTGAGCCCTTTCACAAACCTGGGTACAATGTCTGAAATAAACCGAATCAGCATTTTCAGAGAAAAATTGCAGCAAGGTTATCAAGTAAAATGTTCAAGACTAAAGCTGACAGATCTCTGTCATTCCATCATTATTGACAGCTTTAGACACATAGTGAGGACTCTAGTGATTAACTAGATTTTTCTTGTATTAGATAAGGTGGACTTTGTATTCAATACAAAATTGACTTTTTAGACAGATATCAGTAAATTGATTCTCTTCTCATATTCTAATTGTTCTCAGGCTACCATGACAATCACATTGTCATCAGATGGTTTTGGGCTGCTGTTGAAAGGTTTAACAATGAGCAGCGTCTCCGTTTGTTACAGGTAAGTACATTCACAGTGTAATCTTGCCATTCCTGCCCTCTGTCTATGTGTATGGTAAATTATATTCTTTAGTATAAATTCAATGTTTTCTATGTATACACTGTATATTATAGGGAGAGGGGTTACCTACCCAGGAAATAATTGCAACATACAGAAAAGTCATGTTTTTTAGCCACATACAGAACTCACAAGTCACTTATCCACTCATGCTTTAGACTGGTCCCAGCAAAAAAAAGATGCTGCATGAAGTGGTATTACAGTGCAAGCTGTAGTAGGGTAGTCATATTTTACAGAGTTAATTAGCAATCGGCAATGCAACAGGAACCATTCACTTGAGTGATCTCCTTCCCAATAGTGCCTGTGTAGTCCAAGCTGTGACACCATCCAGAGGGAAAGCACTGACACAAGGGCACCATTCTTCCCATTGACACAGGGGCACCATTCTTCTCACTGACTCAGGTGCATTGTTTTTCTATAGACACAGGGGCACCATTCTTCCCACTAACACAGGGGCACCCTACTTCCCACTAACATAGGGGCACATTCTTCCCACTAACACAAGGGCACCGTTCTTCCCACTGACCCAGGTGCACCTCTCTTTCCACTGCCACATGGGCACTATTGCTTCGCAGGGGGAATTTTTTACTGATCACTAACACAGGGTTATTTTTTACTTTTACTGATACAGGACCATTTTGTACTCCCACCGAAGCTTTGGAGTGTATACTTCCACCAACACTGGGACATTTATTTCTCCCCACTAAATGTCCAGCTCTCCTAGAGTAACTACCTGTCTCCTGGAATCTCCTCCATGCTCTTGAGACTGTGCTGGGAGACACAGCAAACCTTCTGGCAATGGCACGTATTGATGTCTGTGCAAACTCTGTAGGGTCCAGGTATCGCCTCATGCTACCAGTAGTGACATTGACCCTAGCCAAATGCAAAACTAGTGAAAAACCACCAAAAAGGATGAGTAGGAAAAAAATGACAGTGGTCTCCACCTGTAAAACTATTCCTGTTTTGGGGGTTGTCTCATAGTTTCCCATCTAGTTCACCTGTTGTTAATTGCATTAACACCAAAGCAGCTGAAACTGATTAACAACCCCCTCTGCTACTTAACTGACCAGAATATCATCCCAAGAGTTTAATTGACTGGATGCTATACTCTGATTAAAAAGTGTTCCTTAAATTGTTTTGATATATATATATATATATATATATATATATATATATATATATATAGCCATTGATTTGCTATTGGTTTGCTAATTTGCACACACAAAAAAGTATTTTTCCTAGCAAATTCATTCAAGACCATGTTGCAAAATTGAATACACCCCAAAGAGAGTCCTAGGAGCAAAGCTACATTTTAGAGAACAAAATCCTAATTAAAAAGAATTCAGCTACAGGTGAGTCTAATTATTCATTAAACATCTGTCCAGCAGACAGCTGATTATAAAAGAGTGTTACTTAACAAAGAAAACCCTTTCCCATTTCATGCTATCCGCAATGGCACCACATGGAAGAGAAATGTCATAAGGCCTGAGAAAGAAAAAAATTTCTTTATACAAGAAAGGTGAAGGCTGCAAGAAGATCGGCAAAGCTTTACTTATCAGTCAGAATATTGTAGCATAAAAGATACCAAAATTTAACAAAGATGGAACAGCAACCATCTCACAGAGACGTCCGAACCGTCCACGGACGTTCACACCTCGACAGGAGCGTCTTCTGATGAGAAGGGTTGAAGAAAATCACCATGCAAGTTCACTGCAGTTAGCTAAACAAGTAGAAAGTCAAACTGGGGTGATTGTTTCACGTGACACAATACAGTGTATACTGCAAAGGAATGGCATGCATGGGAAGCCTCTCCTAAAGCCCATGCACAAAAAAGCCCACCTAGTATTGCCAGGGCCCATGCTGAAAAAGACTACTGGGACTCTGTACTCTGGAGTGATAAGACCAAGGTAAATGTTTTTGGAACTGATGGCTTCAAAACTGTATGGTGTTGCAAAGGCGAGGAGTACAAAGAAAAATGCATGGTGCCTAAAGTGAAACATGGTGATGGCAGTGTCCTTCTGTGGGGCTGCATGAGTACTGCTGGTGTCGGGGAGCTGCATTTCATTGATGGTATCATGAATTTACAGATGTACTGCTCTATATTGAAAGAGAAGATGCTACCATCACTCCATGACCTTGGTCGTCGTGCACGTTTCCAACATGACAATGATCTAAAACACACGCATCTAAGGCCGCTGTTACATTTCTGAAGAAGATCAGGATGAAAGTGATTCAGTGGCCAAGTACGTCTCCTGATCTGAACCTAATCAAACACCTATGGGGAATTCTGAACAGACAAGTTGAGCATCACTCTCCATCCACCATCCAGGCTCTAAAAGAGGTCGTTCTTGAAGAATGGAAAGAGACAGATGTTGCAATAAGTCGCCAACTTGTTAATTCCATGCCTAGAAGACTTGGTGTTGTCCTTACAAATCATGGAGGTCATACAAAATACTAGATGTAGTAGTTTGTGTTGTGGGGTGTATTCAGTTTTGCATCAGCTAATCTGAGTAAAACTAAAGATTTTGTAATCTAAGTTATAATATTAACCTTATTTTCCTGTGTACTCTTTTATGCTGAGCACTATATATATATATATATATATATATATATATACACATCATACATACATACACACAAGGTATATAGGTATAGTATATGTATCTGTGGTAATGTGTATATATCTACGTTTAAGCAAGTTGTAATTTGAAATACCTTTGTTTTGATAGTTTGTTACAGGTACTTCTAGTATCCCATATGAAGGTTTTGCCTCCCTCAGAGGCAGTAATGGGCCAAGACGTTTCTGTGTGGAGAAGTGGGGAAAAATCACAGCTCTTCCAAGGTATCAAAACAAGATCACTGTATAAGATCATATTTGGAATATGATTATTTGTCTATGGGGTTCAAGTATAAAACATTCAGAGGGTAAACAGTGGAGACAACTTTAGCCAGGAAAAAAATATGTTCAACAGGAGTGGACAGAAATGGCAGCTTCTATACCTCTTCACTGCAGATTTTCTTTAAATTTGGTTCTCTTTTTTCACACGGTTCTTTTAGAAAGCTGATAATATTTTTAATCACTTCAATAGATTTTTTTTACTATTTTGAAAAACTTTGCACGCATGGTTAATGCTCTTTGGTGTAACATTAAAAAAAAATAAAATCTGCAAAAACAAAACATTTATGGCACTTAATGGTATGTTAATTATAGCTATGGAGGATATCATCAGAAGAATTAGTGTATGATTAATGAACAAATTTAAATTTCAATTCTGCCATGTTCAGGTGATTGGACACTAACAAAAAAAAGACAGGAAATCCTCTTCTTGGCATAATCCATCCCTATTGGGCAAAGTTCCATTTTTTTATGATAATATCTTAGGTGATGGCCATATTCATGCAGTCTCTGCATGTAAAAAGTAGCAAGAATGTACCCAGACCCCGCTCTGGACATGTGGGGACCAGGGGCAGACTAACAACTCATGGGGCCCCTGGGCAATAGGAGATCATGATTTTTAGCCTTTTAAACTGGTTGCCCATGGGAATATATTTTGCAGTGTGTTCACATACATTATTTTTGAAGAACTCCCATTTCTATGTTGTGTTCATCAATGCCAATATTCCCTCCCAGTCTAAGTCCTGAATAGAAGCTCTCAGCCTTGGAAAATTAGCTCTCTTAAAGTTGAGTGTTTTTATTTTTCCCATATGTGCTTGTTGTTTACAGCTAACAATAAATGAAATCATGTTATGGTCACTGGTACCCAGATGTTCTTTTATATGGACATTAGTAATAAGCTCTGCATGGTTTGAAATTACCAGGTCTAGCAGAGTATCATTCCTAGTTGAGGCCTCTATGAACTGTACCATAAAATTGTCCTGTAGTAGGTTTATAAATTTTGCCCTTTAACTGTTCCAGCAGTGCCATTACTCCAGTCAGTTACCGGGTAGTTAAAATCTCCCATTATTATCACTGTCCCAACCCTTGCAGTCCTTTAGGTCTGTGCAAGGAGCCAAGTCTCCACCTGCTCGTTAACACTGGGTGGTCTATAACAAACTCCAATGATCACCTTTGTAGTACGCACCCCGCATGTGCAGTTCCACCCATAATGCTTCAGCCTCATCACAACTAGGTCCTCTTTCTTTTTTTAAATATTTTATTTAATTTTCAATATTTCACTTTACATCAATAAATTATCATAATATTCATAAAAAAAAAACAATTTCCTTACATACCTTTATCCCAACCCCCCCCCCCCCCCCCCAGTTCCCTACCCGCTCCCCCTTCCCACCCTTTACACTATCTGCTCCCAGTTCTTTTCCCTTTAGCTTCCCATTCCTCCTCCTTCCTAGGCACTCTCAGAACACCCTTCTTCTTCCTTATTCTCTATTTCTCCTGTTTCAATGTATTTATTTGCTCTTTTAAACTTGTCCCATTTCTCCCACCTTTCTCTAAATTTCTCCATTCTATCTTCTTCCATGTGGTAGAGTTCCTCCATCCTGTACTCATAATCTACCCTACTTATGCCATCTTTTATTTTGGGTACCTCCTGTTCCTGGCAGAATTTTTATATCAATCCCTTTGCTGCATTAATTAGATGGAATATCATCCGGTTCTTAGATTCTTATAAGTATGTGTCGGGACATTAACCCCAGTTATATCCTGAATTTGGAAAATTATTTCTCTCCTATACTCCTGGATTTTGGGACACTCCACCAGATATGTGCTATTGTGCCCTTTCATCCAACATCCCCTCCAACACAAAGGTGACTTATCTATTTGTTGCTTATGTGCCACACTCGGTGTGATATAACACCTAGCTAAACATTTGTAATTCATTTCCACCACCTTCATATCTTTTTCTGTTGCACATGAAGCGATATTCCGAGTTCCCTTTCCCATTTCTCCATGTACGGAGGAAGATTAGCTTCTTTTATTACAGTAAGGATTTTATAGATCCGAGAAGTACCATGTTTCCATATTTTGTTTACATTAAACAATTGTTCAAATGGATTCAGATCCTTCATTGACCTTAAGGGCTTAGGGAGCATTGCAACAAAATGAATTAATTGAAAATATCTCCACTCATCTCTAACCTCCCCCTGCCTTTCCTGTGTTGCCCGTGGCACAGGTAATACTTCACAGAATATCACCTTGGAGGTCTTTCCCTTCAACTTGCAGCCTAGTTCTTTAAATTGATTCTTAAGGAGCCTCCACCTTCCACATTCTGACATTGGTTCCAACATGGACCAAGACAGCTGGGTAATGCCCAGACCCTCCCAATAATTGATCAACCTGGCCCACCACATGCCAAACCCTGGCACCAGGGAGACAGCAAACCATTCGGTTGAAGTGATCCTGGCGACAAATTAATTTATCAGTCCTTCTGATTATAGAGTCCACTCTTACCACCAACTGTCTAGGCCTTCCTGCATTACCCTCACCACCCCTCCCAGATGGTCTGCCCTCCTGGCTGTTAGGGATAGCGGTGACATCCAGTGCTGCCACCCCTGAGCTTGCAACCTCCACATCTTCACCCAACTCAGAAAATCTGTTTGGGTGCTCAAACCCAGGGCTGGCCTTCCTTTTCTGTGAGCTGCTACCATTCCCTCGTTACAGTAATCCATCTTCCTACCTGATAATCCTGACCAGCCCCTCCACATCAATCCCATTACCTGCTCAGAGAGCAGAAGACCCCTTTCAAGTTTGTCGGTTCTGCCCAGTGTTGAAACTTGCTCCTCCAGATCTCTAATGTGAACTTCCAAAAGGGCAATCCTCTCACATCTGTTGCAGTGGTGCCCATCCTGAATCTGTTGCTCCATTGTTGCATACATGCGGCACACTGTGCACTGCACAAAACCTTCAACCCTGCTAGCACACATTATCCCAGTTATAATATTATTATTACTCACAGGAAATATCAGTTGTCACTTACAGGTTAGAAGACTTCTGTTATAATCTCCTGTTTTCTACTCTGGTTTTTTAACTCCACTTAATCAAATGTTCACTTGATCAAAAATCCAGCAAGGAAAATACAGGCAAGCTCAAGAATGAGCAAGCTCAGAGTGAGCTGTACAGAAAGTTGAGCGGAAAAATGTGCGACGATTGCAGCAAAATTGCCCTGTGTTTTCAGGTGCCATTGAAATAAATGGCACCTCCAAACGCGATTGCACATTTTCACATCGTCACACCGCGTTTTCAAATCACAGGCAGAATCGCAACGATTCCGCCCATGATTTTAAATGCCCAAATGTGAATGGAGCCTTACAGAAAAATGTCTATGTACAGTATACCATATAGAATACAAGGGTCAGGAGTAGAGAGCAAACAAAACAACATATAGGGTGCAGCAATCAGGATCTGCGCCACGCTCACATCCTCCTTTTCATCAAAGTCCCCAGCATTCTCCCTATACATCACAGTCCACAGAGTCCCCCTTATATCAGAGTCCCCAGAGTCCCATCTTACATCAAAGTGCCACCTTACAGCAGAGTCCCCAGAGTGCCCCCTTCCATCACTGTCCCCTTACACACCTTTTTATCTTTGTCCTTGGTGTGGCAGGCGGCTGGTGGGAAAAGGCTTTTAAAAAAGATCCACTTGTTGCCAACTCTGAACTGTGCATGTGCAGTTGTGGAGGCAGCTGAATGGTGAACTGCGATGGGTGGCCTCAGATTGGGCAGTAGGATGTGTGAATAAATGCCAGATTTGATGTGTGCCATGATGTCACCACACGGGTGCGCACCTAGACCCACCTGCTGCCTGATCTGAGGCCGAGCTCAGCAGTTCACCCTTTCCGCTGGCTCCAAATGGCAATGAGTGGGTTTTTGTGTATTTTTCTCCTGTCTGTCTATGGATGTTTGGCAACACAGTTGCTGATCAAGTGGCTTTTTTCCCAACATGTGTGTTCAACCGAAGTCGATCAGTAGATTGACTTCTGCTGAGCGGCAGTGGGCATGCATGGATCATACAGTAGACAAACACACACAGTACATATACACATACACACACCAACACTTTACATCTAAAAATCAGTCTGATCTAATACATTGCTGCTGCTGCTGCTACTCCCATCTCCTACAATGCTGTGACTTGTGGTGCCCCAGTAGCTTGCAGACACATGAGGTGGTAATGCAGGAGAGGAGGAGGCTGTGGCTGTGTATTGGTGAGCAGGTACTGAGTAATAAGAAGATGTAGCAGAGATTAGGGGAGATCTCAGAAGTTCAGAACAGGTCTTTCCTCCAGAAGCAGTGCACTTCTCACACAGAAAATCAGTCTTAACAGCCTAAGAGACAGGAGCCCTGCTAGAGGGAGCACAGCCTCCCCCTCTCCTCCTGCCCACCAAGGTAACCCACTGACAAAACTATATTGTACTCACCCCAGCCAGCTTACCTTCTCCTGGCAGGCTTCAGCCCACACTGAATGTTTACTCCTCCCTCTCCTGCCCTCCAGCTGGCATCTTCTGTTCAAAAGTGAAATATGGCTTGCTGGGGAAGTGGGTGGGTACACTGTGTTCCGATTGGCTGAGGAGGCAGTGGAGAGGTGGAGCAGCTGTAGCCTCAGGCTTTGTACAGACACTGGATGTCAGTAACAGATATTTCTGGGACAGATCTAGAAATCACAGGTTTTTACAACCTCTCCCTGAATTTACTGAAGTTGGCACCCCTGATGGGGCGCTCTACTACCCTGGGCCCTCAGGCAGTGCCCAAGTTCCCGAATGGTCAGCCTGCCCCTGGTGGGAACAGCTTGTAACATTGCTGGTCAGAACTAGACCCTGTAGAATCTTTAGTGATCCACAGCTGAGCAGTCGAATCCCTGAAGGCCCTTGTGGCCTGCTATGATGGGTGAGGATTGGACCTTCTAGTGGGTCCTATGGTAGACTGAGGAGGAATTTTGTGACCCAACATTTTTTTTTTACAGTGTGTAGTTGATTTTTTGCAACTATACAGCCTTCATGGGCACCAAATGCAGGAGGCAGAGTTTTCTCCACCCCCTGCATTTACCCGGGGCTAACTAGGCTGCATGCACATGCCCAGAGCAGACAATGACGTTATGAGTGGGGTGTAGCACTCTGGCAACGGTCATCATGGATCCTCATGTGGGAATGGCATTGTGGGCTCTCGGGACAACTGCTGGTCGCAGGTTAAAAAATTCCTTAGGACTACAGGTTGCAGCAGTAGCGGTGTCTTGTGGAGCAGAGCCTTCATTGTGGGACTGCAAGTCACAGCGGACCAATTGCTGGTGGAACTACAGGTAGCAAGAAGCACCCATGCTCAGAGAGTGATTACTTCACATTTCTTGGTGTGTAGCTTTGTGCAAGACATCAAATGTATTGTTCCACTAGTGAGGATTACGTAGACTCCATGGAACTTCACCTTGGTACCTTCTGTATTGCAGAAATCTCAGTTTGAACCCATCTGAGACATTCTTTTAGTCCTTCTGACTTGGATGGTTGTTTTTCTGGTTGCCATTACTTTGTCTTGCAGACTGGCTCCAAGCACTGCCACTCTTTCTATTAGTCCTATTGTGCAGGGAAGCACATGGGGCTGATACTAAGTCAAATTCAGGTACTTTCCCTAGCTGTATTTATAAATACATTTCATGTTTTTTTCAAGTGTATTAAATGGTGTTTTTAATAGCTGCTTGGATTTCAACTTTAACCACTTGAGCTCCTGAGGATTTACCCCCCTTAATGACCAGTCGCCTCTTTTTGCTACTCGGCGCTGCACTAATTCAACTGATAATTGTGCGGTCATGCAATGCTACACCCAAACGAAATTTACGTCCTTTTTCTCACACAAATAGAGCTTTCTTTCGGTGTAATTTGATCACCTGTGCGCTATTTTTTTTTTCACGCTATAAACAAAAAAAGGCCCAAAATTTTGACGAAAAACAATATTTTTTACTTTCAGCAATAAAAAATATATAGTAAACTCAAAGTTGGTTATTAATTTAGGCCAAAATGTATTTTGCTACATGTTTTTGGTAAAAAAAATCCCAATAAGTGTATATTGATTGCTTTGTGTGTAAGGTATAGCATCTACAATCTATGGTATAAATACTGCAATTTACGCCATTTTTCTGCTATACAGCGCTGCGCTAGTTTAATGGACAATTGCGCGGTCATGCAATACGGTACATAAATGAAATTTACATCCTTTTTTTTCCCCACAAATTGAGCTTTCTTTCGGTGGTATTTGATCGCCTGTGCGGTTTTTATTTTTTGCGCTATAAAAAAAAAGGCTGACAATTTTTAGGAAAAAAAAACAATATTTTGGACTTTTTGCTATAAAACATGTCCAGTAAAAAAAAAATGCAAAAATCAAATTTAGTCATAAATTTCTGCCAAAATGCATTCTGCGACATGTCTTTGCTAAAAAAAAATCCCAATACGTGTAAATTAATTGGTTTACGTGAAAGTTATAGCGTTTACAGATGGCGGGAAAGATACTGGGATTTTTAATTTTTATTTATACTAATAATGGCGCCGATCAGCGAATTATGGCAGCGATCAGGGACTTATGGCAGAGACCAGCGACTTATGGCGGGACTGCGGCAGACATTTTGACACTGGGGGGGAACTGACTTGGGGTCACTGACATCCCCAGTGACACCAATACAGTGATCAGTGAAAAAAAAGCACTGAAACTGTACTAATGTCACTGGGGAGGAAGGGGTTAACATTTTTAGGAGTTTACTGTGTAGGGGGGGTGTTTTACTAGGGGGCGGGGGTGTGTGCTGGACGGGGGGGAGAGAGGGGGGGAGCTGATCGAGGGAGAGAAATTCTTCTCTCCCTCTTCAGCTTGTCGGGGAACTGTCACAGAGCAGGCTGTGTGTAAACAATGCAGCTCTGCTCTGTGACAGTGATGACAGCTCATCGCGGGAAAACGGGCGGTAAAAACCGGCCGTGACCCGGTGGCTGACACCCGCTGCGGACACCCGCGGGACAGGTAGGGCGGGGTCCGTTTTAAAAACGTCGTTTTGCCTACCAGTGCCTCCCTGCTGCCGTACATGTACAGTGGCTAGACGGCATGCGGGTAAAAAAGAGGAAGGGCCAGTATTAACAGGTTTGTGTATGCTTGTGAACTTATTTTAGAAGTCCATGGGAATGCAAAAGCAGCTGGAGAAGGTCAAGTGCAAGTCGACTACACCTACAATGAAATCTGAATGACCTCTGCATTTTTCTATCACAACCCATTGACCCTGGCCCTTAATAGTGCAGCGCTTTTTATGGACTTTCCTTTTTACTTGTTAGCTACACAATTGTTCTACAAGTGATTATCACCAACAACATATCTATGTCTGTCATTTCTGTAACATAATAAATAAAATAACATTTTTTTTTTTCCAGGGCCCATACATGTTTCAACCGACTAGATCTTCCACCTTATCCTTCATTTTCTATGCTTTATGAGAAGATGTTAACTGCAGTTGAGGAAACAAGTACATTTGGCCTTGAGTAATTTCATCTATTTATGGCTTTCTAAAGCACCTTTATCAAGCGGAAGGTTTGCGTAGCTGGCATAACTACTCCAAAACGTCAAGTACAGTTACTCTGGAAAACAGACTTTTTCAGTTATGTTCGACCAAAACTGGCAAACCTGAGACTGTAGTATGTCACTGTTTCTGCACAAGTATGAAGAATACGTTTTGTACAACATGAATGAAAGGATGCAATGAACTATATCATTTTACAATATAGCGTACTTTCTTCTGTTGTTACATCTGTAATCCTACTGGGAGAAAACAGATAAACTGCACTAAGTGGAAGTGACAGAGATACACATTATAATGCATTCCAGTTTTGCAGGTAATGTTAGGATGCTTGCATGCTCTGCATCTTAATTTTAGTTACACTAGCCAAGAACAAACATACGTGTCAGATTTATTAAACGTGTCTCAAATGTGATGCATGTTTAAATCTGCAAACTTTCAGTGCAATTATCAGCAGTTTTAACTGATGTGACACATGAAAAAAAAAACTGCACATTTTCTGTATCAATGTATATTTCTTCCACACAGATATGTGGTTGCTTTCTACACTTAAACACGTATGTTAATAGTACCGTTTTTAATCACATCATTTGTCAAAACCGCAAATACTAAATGTTATTGTAAAATATTTATCTTATTTATTATTTGCATCTATGATTGATGCATTAAATCATGTGCTTTAAAAAGAAATAATGCTGACACTGTTAATTAATATTTTCAGATTCGTAAATTATTTTGCACATTCATAGGAATCTTGAATGTGGTCCTTTATATACTGTACTGTACAGCTTGACACTGCATTTTATGATCTTTATTTACTGTTGGATGCAACCCTGTTTTAAAGCAAACATTTATTTAGCAATTGAAGCAAAAAACATTATTGTTGATTTATTTGAATTATTTTGTAGAACTTTTTTTGAAGAGTCTTTTTTTGTACAGAAAGGTATTATACATATTTTTGGACCATCATATGACCATAACTGAAAAGTCATAAAAATATGTTTGATTACCATATTTATTATTAAAAAATCCTATGTATGATTTTGAGAAGTGCTCCCTATAAAAAGCATATTGCAGTGTACAAAGTAATGTATTTTGTGGTCAGGTTATGTAAACTGACAACACATCATTGGAGGCCAGCAAAGTACCTATAAGGTATAAAACTGAATGGCACTGAGCATTGCATTTGTATGGCAATTCTGAGGCCATTAAGATTATTATCAAAGAAGATGTGCTGCCATGAGTGAAATTTTGAGCAGGAATTCTAACAAGTTTTTTGTACGAAGTTGACAGTTTTACATATCATCTTACCATATTTTATATTGGGAAAGCTCAATTCAGATGTCAGTTTCCAAAATAGTTTATAAACAATATCAATAATACCATTATATTAACATTTTGTGTGGAAGGTTGCAAGTAAGATCCAGTATATTCTGAAATGGTGTTAATCTAATAATGCATGGATGTCTTAAAATGTGCAGTTAACTGAACACTATGTACAATACCATGAAAAAACACATTTGATTATTTTTATATAGTTATTGTACAATAGAAATGGAATATTTCAATTGTTAACATTTATGAACATGTTAATATCATCTCTATAACTGCATAAATGGGCTTGATGTATTATTTAGCACCTTCAATAATAAAGTTTTTATTTGCTTTTTTCTCTTTTTTTTATATTTTAAATGATAAAATGTGAAAGTGTTTATTATTTTCTACTCACAAACATATGGTTTATAAGTGATTTTATTTTTGTTTTAAGTAAGCAGCAGTAGAATCTAAATTTCAACACCGCTAAACTTGCCAACATTCTTGATTTGAAATTAAGAATAAAATAACTTAAACCAACTTACAAACAATGGACACCTACTTATATACAATAATATGTTTTGCTAAAGGATTTCACAGGCATGGTTGAAATAGTTTAGATCTGTGACCTAGGAAGTGATTGACACATACAAACACCATCATGAGCTGCACAATTTGCCTGATACACAGCTGTGTAGGACTTAAAGTGTATGTTACCCCAACATTTAATATTCCTGATCTGTGTCTTTGTTACCATGTCCTTCTATGAATAAGTATTCTGTTCTTTTTGCAGTGCTTTCTTTTTGTGAAATCTGTGGTGATCTTGCCAGTCCCCCTACTTTCCTATTTCAAATTGGCCATGCTAGGTTTGGACACACATTCTACTTGGGAGCACAGAATGCCTGTACTCCAGTGGTCAGACTCGTACTGAAATGCCCCTGCACAGCTCTTCAGTGGGAAGATCCTTGCACTGCTACTTAACTGCCTCCTGTTGACACACCCCCTACAGTCTTCACCCCTATATCTCTAAGCCCCTTATGCAGCTGAGAACCAAAGTCATGTGATCACTTATAAATAGAAAAAAGATATTTTATAAATAAATAATATATATATATATATATATATATATATATATATATATATACACATACATACGCACAAATGTTTTTCCTTGCATTCCTATTTTATATGGAATGTGGTTCACATATATTTTAATTAAACTGTATGTTCTAAAAACAAAATCTGACTGCTCGAAATTTGTAACTAAAAATGAAGATGCATCAAGTTAATTTAATCCACACAGACCAACAGAATCTATACTGTATGAGCTGATTCACACAGGTGCGGTGCGGATTGAAGCTCAGGTTTCACAGCTAATTAACACAGTAATTGTTTAGCAGTTCATGTCAGGTTCAGGACATGATTAGGACAAAACGTTATCTTGTTCACACATATGTCGTTTAGAAACGTTCTCGTAGAAGTCAATAGCTTGTAATTCGCACCTGAACCGGACCGCACTGCTCAGAAATCGCACATGACTCTTTTTCAAACCGCACTGAATCCACAGCGCTAGTACACCGGACATATGTGAACAGGCGCCATAAGAAGCAATGTTATTTCACATGTCATGCGGATTGGATGCGGTTAAACAGGCACTAATTCTTAATTGAAGGTTTTCCTGCTGTAGGAGCATTTTAAATGTAATCACCTTTGTGAGCAGTGGATAGTATCTAGTGTAGCACTTGCCATCTTAATCATGATATCCTGCTAGATCACTTCAAACTGGCCCAAACAAATTATTTAAAGGAATATTAAATATGGAGTTAGGTTTTTAACAATAAAAACACCATCATGAGCTGCACAAATTGCCTAATACACAGATATGCATGACTGCTTATACGTAGTAACTAAAAATGAAGATGCAGTACATTAATTTATTTGTAACAGAGCAACACAGTCTGGCTGGCTCTGGTGGATCCTGCTGGTGTAAAAGAGCTTTCAGTTGCAGCTCCAGAGATGAACTGCTCATGGCACTGCAGTTCTTCTGCAAAGCGCTTACAGGAGAAGTATGACTTTTTTCCCCTACTTATACTTACCTAGGTGGATGCAGCATTGTCTGTTGGTGTGTCTGTTCCCCGGCAGCTCTAAGGGTGAGAACTCAGTGATCACATGACCGCTGATCGCTGAGTTCTCACAGCCGCTCTGAGCGTGGCACTGTCTGTCACTGCTGTCTGTTCAGCCCCCCAGCGCTCACTAGAGTGGAGGGGGAGGGAGCTACTGGCTCAGGCTCTCAGCAGCTCACTGAGGTGCTGAGCCAGGTGCCACCCCAGACTCTGAGGTAGATCCTGACATTGAAGTTGAGATCTTTCCCCAGCCTGGATGAGCTGAGTGACATCAGCTGACAGCGGACTTCAGTCTGCTGTCAGCTATAAATGGGTCACAGGAGTGCAGAACAAACTTCACTCCTGTGATCCACAGAAGAAGTACAGCCTAAAGATCTTTGGCTGTACTTCTCCTTTAAAGTTGAACTAAACCTAATTTTTGTAAAACTGCGAGCATCTTTTTATTGCATGCTGTTTCCTCTGCAGTAATACAAACTTACCTGCCTGCTCGCAACTTTCTGCAGCTCAGCTTGCATTCCCGGCAAACTTAGGCTGTTTCAGAATGACTGGCTCCCATGTGCATGTCATCATTTCCTGCTGGCCAATCACGAGGCCAAAAACTGGAGAATATACCAATGGCCAGAGCAGGATGTAACTGATGCATTGCTAGAAGGTAGAGGTGAGTATATTGGGGACTTTAGTTCCACCTGAAAGGGTGGAATTACTGTGTGTCTATGTGTATGTATAACCCATGTAAGTTTTGGCAAAACTGTTTTCCAAAATGTATTTTATTTTCTATGAAATCTATAAACAAACTGATGTAAAAATTTAAAATTGTGGATTTTTTCAGTTTTGATTTGTGCTACAGTAAACACACAAATATTTTACTTTGGAATTTCTCATGTTTAAATCGACACCAAAATTATCTTTCCTGACAGCTCCATGTCAGCACAGTTGGATAAGGGCCCCGCCCCCCATATGCTTCCAGGACCTAACTCATAATTTTGAGCACCTGCAGCCTCTACATTCCCCCCATGTGCAGGACCTAGGTGTACTCCTCTACCTGGCTGGTCTTAAGGGCTGGCTGACCGTGCATGCGTGTAGGTTTTACCTGGACACAGTCCCTGGTGTACTGGCTAAATGACCCATAATCCAGGGAGCCCCGCTGCTGGTCCTCGGGGCGGCTTCTATCACAGCTAACAGCCTTGTCTGGGGTCCGCTGGGTTTGTGCGAAGTGGGCAGCGGTGTCAGCAGAGTCTCCCCTAGGTACGTACACCTGCGCAGTGCCAGTGTTTACAGTTGGATGGTGAAGGTTGGGTGAGCTAAATTTAAAAATGCTTTGTATCCAAATGAATGCTGCATTGCTAAGGTATTGTGCCTTGCTGCCTGCAGCCGCTGTGCATACCCTGAGCTCCTCCAGAGGTAGTACTCTGCATAACAGGTGCACAAGGTAATACTTTGTCTGTTCACATATGGCATTACCTGTTGGTGGCTTCTCATGTTTGCTTTATTATTGTGTCATTAAGCCATCCCCTTCAAAAGACCAGCATTCT